GGGCATCGGCGGCAACGTGCTGACCATGCTGGTGGTGTCGCGCTGCCGGGCCATGCGCACCACCACCAACCTCTACCTGTCCAGCATGGCCTTCTCCGACCTGCTCATCTTCCTGTGCATGCCCCTCGACCTGCTGCGCCTCTGGCAGGCGCGGCCCTGGACCCTGGGCGACCTGCTGTGCAAGCTCTTCCAGTTCGTGAGCGAGAGCTGCACCTACTCCACCATCCTCAACATCACGGCGCTCAGCGTGGAGCGCTACCTGGCCATCTGCTTCCCGCTGCGCGCCAAGGTGGCCATCACCAAGGGCAAGGTCAAGCTGGTCATCCTCGGCCTCTGGGCCGTGTCCTTCGCCAGCGCCGGGCCCATCTTCGTCCTGGTGGGGGTCGAGCACGACAACGGCACCAGCCCGGCCAGCACGGACGAGTGCCGCGCCACCGAGTACGCCATCCAGTCCGGCCTGCTCACCGTCATGGTGTGGACGTCCAGCGTCTTCTTCTTCCTGCCCGTCTTCTGCCTGACCGTGCTCTACAGCCTCATCGGGAGGAAGCTGTGGAGGAGGAAGAGGAAGAACATGGGGCCCAGCGCCTCGGTCAGGGACAAGAACAACAGGCAGACTGTCAAAATGTTAGGTAGGATCGGGAGGGGGTGTGTGTGTGTGTTCAAGGAAGGCCCAGGGGTTCAGCCCGGACCTGCAGCCGCGCTCCCCAGGGAAGTGCTGTCCCTGCTGGATTCTCCCCGGGGCCATGGGAAGGGCTCAGGCAGGAGGTAGCAGCACTGTCACACTGCTGGTCCCTGCTCTGCCATGCAGAGGACAGGCACAGAGAATGGGGAGAAGGGGGAAAGTGACCCTGTTGCACCAGGGGGGGAAAAAGTGATCCTGTTGCATGGAGGGGAGTGATCCTGTTGCACTGGGCGGTGGGGGAAAGTGATCCCGTTGCACGGGAGATTCTGGAGCTAAATCTGTAGCGAAGTTAGAAGTGCCAAAAAATGCCAGCGTGAGAAGTGTTTCTGCCCCGTCCCTCTCCACTGGTAATCTGGTCTCAAAGCATGGCACAGCTGCAGTGTGCTGGTGGACTGAAGCCCATGCATGTGGGGAATGGGTTTCTTCTGACCAACTTGACCAGTATAGCTACATTCATCCTTTGCCAACTAAACTGCATTTGCTGCTTTAGCAACATCAGCTGCTACTTATTGGAGAATATGCTCCGTCTCTTAGGGTCCCAGATCCTATCACCTTGCAAACCAAGTGCAAAATTCCTGCTCATCACTTGCAGGGCACAAAGCATTAAGCATGAATGTTTCAAGGTACAGATTTTGAATACGAGTACAAAGGAGAGCTGTTGCTTCAGTGAGGAAATCTAAACTGCAACGTGTCAGTAGACACAGGTCTTCCACTGGAAAGACTTTGGTCTTGCAAGTGCTCAACGTTAGTGTAGTTAATGAGGTCCTCTGCAAGCAGCATTTGCAGAATTAAATCACCAGGCTAGAAACAGCAACACTTTCTGACACTATTTAGAAACCCCCAAACACTTTCATTTGATTCTTTAGTGGAAAACTATAGATTCTCTTATTATTCTAGCAGCCTGATCCTGCAACAACCTCTACTCACTTTGCTAATTGCAACTGAGTTGGAGCAATGGACCAGAGAACTATACAGCAGGGCCAAGACAGGTCCTGAATATCTCAGTTATTCAATTTAAACTTAACTGATTATGTATTCCTACATGTTATTATTACTATGCAACAACAGCAAGAGTAATCAAAACAGTGAGATCTTTTATGCTCCTTCAGTTACATTATATGATCAATAAAGTACTGCAACCTGTCAGCATGACCTGGGAAGCAACGCATTGCTTAGCCGAAGATCTGTTTCCGGACCTAGATTTTTCAAAATTACAAATTGGTGCTCACTATTTCCAGAGTTATAGTTCTAAAAGTTTAATATACCGATTTCAAATCCTAAAATACTTGCTTACCTCAGCCCTAAAGCACTGCTACAAACATCATTATTATTTCAAGTCACTTTCTTCACTAGCTATTAGACGGTGAAAAGACTGTGGCTAGAGCATCCTTTAACAGAGAGACAACGTTAAATGTTAGCAATCTACTGTGGGGTTGGATTGCAGTAGAAGAAGTGAATAAGGGATCGGTACGACAAGATGCAGAATGCCCCGAGCCCTTGAGTGATCAGAACTTGGAATTGTAAATCCCTTGCTGAGAATTTAAAAGAGCAGCTTTAAAGCTTTAAATCTTTACCAGTTAAGGAACAAGAGCAAAACCAAAGTCGGATAAATGATAGTGCATGGAATGGTGTATTTTAGTTAAATGCTGCATGTGTTAAATTAGTCTTTGTACCAGTTTTTTCCTCACCATTGCAACCCTGAAATCCTCTCTTCTGGAAAAAACCAAGGATATATCATTTAGAATGATTATATACTAAATCCAATAAGGACATATAAACAGTATATTTATATGCAATGCCTGCTGTAGTGATTATTCTGATTATATATTAATATCATTATCAGTGTATTAATTTTAAAAGCTAATCTTTAAAATCCAAAATAAATTGAACAAATTGATGTTTGTTGTGTGAAAAATCACACTCTTAAGATCTTCACTAGTGTTAAAGACATCAAAGTATGTTTAATTTTAAATGATGCATGTTTTTAATATACTTATCTAAAAGCATTTCTTTCCCTGTTTCTCTTTTAGCGGTGGTGGTGTTTGCTTTCATACTCTGCTGGTTGCCTTTTCATGTGGACCGATATTTGTTTTCCAAATCTTTTGAGGCTGGATCCTTGGAGCTGGCAGTAATTAGCCAGTATTGCAACTTGGTGTCCTTTGTCCTCTTTTACCTTAGTGCTGCCATCAACCCTATTCTGTACAATATTATGTCTAAGAAGTATCGAGCTGCTGCTTGCCAACTGTTTGGACTCAAACCACTCCCAAAGAAAAGACTCTCTGCTACAAAACAAGAAAGCTCTCGTGCCTGGACAGAATCTAGCGTTATTACCTGACAACTGATTGAAAGTGCTGAAGCATCCCTTACCAGTCCTGCCCAGAAAGCGAAAACAAGCCCAAACTGTTCAAAGAAAAGTGTAATGCGGTATCTATTTTCATCATCAGGGGTTGCTGAAAGTTATAATATAGACAGTAAAAGGTAAGAAAAAGAATGAGTTGAGCCCTGGGCTTGTACAAGGAGATTTATGTTTGCAAAACTCAGCAATATTCTCCTACTGCCTTTATTGCATTTGGGGGTTGTTTTTGAGGGGGAGAGGGGTTTGCAGACACTGGGCATGTATACACAAGATGCTTACTGCGCAGTAGCCTAATAGCACTGTGCAGTAGCGTGCTGGTCAAAAACTGTGCTAATAAGCTACTGTGCAACGTTATTAAGCTACTGCACAGTAACCGTCACAAAAAAACTGTATGCCAGTGCTACTGCGCAGTAAATGTACTTACTGCGCATCCCGTTACTACTTCATTAAGGAAGTACTAAACTAAATGCACAGTAACTATGGCGCATTGATGAACATGTAGATGTGCACTGGCGAGGGATCTAGGTGATACCATTGTTAACAGGCAGGATGCTTCCTCAGTTCACACAACTACCACAAATAGCTGTGAGCTTTCAGTAGGAGCAATTTGAGCTGGACTAGATAACTTCATGGGGCCCCTTCCAGCCACACTTTCCTATGATCCTAAATTTGAGTAGGATTTGTCCAGTGGCAACCTTAATCTGTCAAAAGAATCAGTGATCAAGTTCACTGAAAGTTTTGCCTGATCAGGCCCTTGAGAAAGTTCAATTCAGTTGTCTGGCGTGGATGATAAACATGGAATTTGATGCGCTTTGCCATAACTTTGATTGATTTTATTCAAAGGGAAATGATTTACAAAAGAGGACGATTTACCAAACAGGCTGAAAATCAGCACCTTTCATAGCATATCAAGAAAGAAGGGAAACGAAATAGTACCTTAGGTAGAAATGGAGTTACAGAGCAATTAGCGCTGAACCGGAATATTTTTTAATGCGTCTGCTAGGGAAGGACACTATTGATTTCTGTCACGGTGGTGTTACTCTGAAAATTATTAAATGCAATCTCCCACCAAAGTCATCTTTTTATTCTCCTTTATAGGAGTTTCCCCATTAGTGAAAAAAGGCAATTCATATCAAAATTCTTCTGGAGATATGGCCACATTATTCATGCTTTCTCATGCCTTGAGTCTAAGCAACCTGATGTGTTTGAACTTGAAAGCTACAGTGGTTTCAATATGATAACAAATCTGTGACCAGCTAGGATCTTTCCTTTAGGCACTCTGCTGTGCAGCATGCCGATCTAGAAGTTGGTCACAACCCTTCTCTCCCAAAAAGCCCAGACCTTTGTCATACAGAGAATATCATCAGTTTTGTTCATAATAATACAGTGCCTATGAGACAGTTGCACAGATCCGATTCCAGAGAGAGACATGGCCTGCCTTAAAACTCTGCTAGTTCATTACACCATGAAATCCTGCATCAGTCCGACTTACTTTCTGGAACAGTTTTAAAGAATAGGACCTTGGCATTTCATCCAAAAATCTCCATTAATGCACATACACCCATGCAGTTTCACACCTAATCTTTAACACTATTTAATTCCATTAATTTTTGTAACTCAGGTCTCTTTTTCAAGTACTGTCCATCTTTTATGCATGTCTTGTATTGTATCAACATACAGGTTTTATCACCCATCCAATACAACCTAGGCACAGCCATGTAAAATAGTACATTTCTATTTATTAAGTCCTTGTATTTATTGCTGGCTGGCCCACAACATGTTCTATCTAATGGATTATCTGTTTTGTCCAAAATTCCTGTAGATCTCAAATGCATCTTGAAGGTAATGGGCCTTTCCCATTCTGTTACACGGTCAGTTAATGGAACTGCTCGTGTAGAACTGGAATCGGAATTTGGCCTTTTCTGTATATATTCTACGCTCTATATTGCTTCGTTAGGTCTGTAAAGTTAAAATGGTTTATTTTAAATGTGGAACCTGAATTTATTTTGTGGCCTGATCATGCATTTGCTGAAGTGAGTGATCATAATGATGTGTAGGGATTCAGTGCAAATGTGTAACTGGAGGGACAAAGTCAGCTTGGGTTTATAAATAATTATTAGAGATGCAAAAGGTTAGCAAATTAACAAGGCGACATCATTTAAAACTCAGAAGGGAAGCAAGCCTCCAGCTGTCAGACACCAATATAAGCTTCATTTGTCTGAGACAGTAGCACATAATTCAGAGACTGCAGTACAGGAGTATCTCCAACTGGCTCTCTAACAGCATCTCTGCTTTTTTATTGTCTTCATTCTCATTTATTCTCTTCATTTTCTCTTCACCACATAAACAGGGTTCTGATTAGAGGTATCATACAACTCAGGGAAAAAGGAACTTGGGAATCTAAAAGAGATATGTTCTGTAAAGATATACGCTCACAAATGGTGTTACCGGTATTCTGTATGTGAACGGACCATGCACCTAACATTAAATGTTTCAAAAGTTAATTGCGTCTGAACCATGACCAGAGGTTTTAATAAAGCTATGAAAAAAACTTTACAGTTCTGCTGCTTACATACTTTCTACTGCATTGCTTTTACATCCTGGATAAAATGTAATTATTTTGGGAATAGTTAAAGTGATACCGTTTTGCACATGTATGCGGCCATTAAACCCTTCATTTTTATCACATACGTCTTGCAAGCAATCGCACAGGTTCCTTTTGTCTTCTTCTCTTTGGGTGGCTCTATACATCGCCCTATGGTGATGCTGCTACGGCACCATGCTGTCATACTTCCTTGTGGAAGTAGTAAAGCACAGTGCAGTAACCACTCCTACAGCGCCGTCCACATGGTGCATGGTTAGATTTCACCACTACCTTGCTGCACCACTATGGCAAATTAGTTGGTGATCACATGTAGACTCACGTGATCGCTATGTCACCGTAGCGCACCGTATGGCGATGTAGTGTGCTGCTGCGGAGACATAGGGCGATGTGTAGATGCGCCCTGTGTTTCTTATAGTTGTGTGTGGCACAGGGGCCTTGCTTCTACAAGGCACTGAGCATTTAGGTCCTAGCCTAAACACAAGCACGTGCACTTTTATTAATTAGACAAGTGAGAAGCTTGATCTGAATCTACTTGGGCTCCTGAAAATACTTATGTTCCTCCTGGGCACTTTTGGATGTTTAACACACACAATAGCATAGTCACTTCCATACTAACATTAAGCCATCTCATCAGCTTGGCCACTCGCTTCCTAGCAACTTGGCCAGCTGTTCATGAAGAAACTCCAAAGTCAATGACCTCAGATTACATGAATAATAAGGTGATGTCTTTATGGAGCATAACACAATTTTAATCCAAGGAAAATTAGATCCTTCGCATTGAATGAGGTGGGATAATCCTTCAGTCCTGTATCCTGTGACCAAAAGTGGCCGGAAAAGGTGCAAAATTCCTCAATATGCATAAATGTGGAATAGCTTGCCCATAAGGGAAGTTATTGCCTATGTTGGGTCAATTAGGTTATTTCTTCACTGCAAAAAAATTGTGCTTTTGTGATAGTTGGGCCGATATAAAAGTCTAGTGGACATGGTTTTAACCTGAGCATGACTAAAGTTGAGGTTAGCCCCAAATGGGGTGGAAAAGACTGACCTCAGTAAGATATACAGGTAAAAACTGCTGGTGTGCCGTCTCTCCACAGTGTAGGATTTTACACTGAGGTGCTGATCGCGTGTCAGCGTAGCATCCCATTCATTTGTACAGTAAAGACAAAACATTACTTGTTAGGCTCAATCCTGAAACGTGGAAGGTTTTATCTAAAATAAGCTATGACATTAGATAAGAAAACTGCAGAGAAATCTAAAGCTGAGTCTGTTTCAAGTACCAGTTATTATTAAAATTCGATTTAAAAATAGCACCAGTTAACAGTGAACAGCCAGTACAGATATACCTCTGAAAAAATAAACAGTCACAGGGTTAGTTACAAAGATGTTTCTCAGCGACGGGCAGAATGATGTATACAGACAGGATGGCAGTCAGCAGTTTCAGGCCTGCTCCTTCAAAGTTTTGCTAGCAACAGCTCCCAGCGTAATGAAATAGTAGCTACAGAACAGTCCTTTTACCAGTGTAACTCGTCATTTGGAGTACACTCTCCACCAGCAAAAGCGCTGCCCGTTGACCATGTTCGGATGTGCATTGTAATATTACCAGTGTTTCAGCAGTTTCAAAATCCAGTGCTATAAAGGGTGCTCAGATAACCAGAGCCTCCAGCTGGAGCACTCCAAAGCCATGCTCGCCAGTCAGGGGGTGACAAGGGATTGATCCTCTGCCCCCCACCCCCATAGGAGTTACCAATCTAGTAACCCCAATGTTACCAATCTAGTAACATTGTTACTGCGCCATCTTTTAGTAATGTCCTTTCGGAGGTACTAAAAGACGGTGCGGTACCAGCTGGTACTGGGCTGGGAGTGCCACGCGCAGTTATTTTTAGGCACTACATCACTGTAGCGATGCACTATAATGGGGGAGCGTGTCACTACGGTGATGCAGCTGTGGCATCACGGGTTTTGCCCATGGACACTACGTTGATGTAGTGTCGCATGCAGACGTACCTACTCTCCCCTGCTAGGGAAGTGGGGGCAGCCTGTCATTGATTGGTGGGCAGCCCCTGTCCTTGCCATGGGATGGCTCTGCTGCAGGGACAGCCGCAGGCCCTGCTACCCCAGCAGCTAGAGCCGGAGCCACCGGTTTGACTGGACTGCAGCTCCGCTCTGCACCAACGAGCCCAGTGCCTACTTTGGACTCACTAACCGATAGCAAACAACTACCCCCGAGCCTGCTGAAGCTGCACTCTCCCTCTCTCCCACACTGGAGAGAGCAGAGCTCTCCATGGTGGGATGGCTTGGAGAACAAGAGATCCCCTGTAGCGCTACCTGTCACTGTTCAGACATTACACGTGGTACAACAAAATGTAGTGCTACG